AAAGACCTTCTCGCAGCCCAAACCCTGCAAGAGCAACATCTAAATAATTTTATGAGCCTATGCACGTCAAAAAATAAAAAAATATATATATTTATATTGTACTAACAGAATCCTCAACGTATTCCTCAAACAAGTTTATCTGCACAGTCTGCTTTTCCTCTGATAAACCCAGCACCATTGGTAATGAGTAGAAAATGGTTCCAAGAGACTGTCGCAGAGCTGATTGGTAGTGTAGCATGCCCTAAAGGGAGGCAAAAAATCAAAAGCATACCGAACAATGAGGAAAAAAAAGGAAAAAACAACAATAACAATAACAACAACAAGAGCAAGTCTTCCTTAAATTCCAAGATCTCTTGGGAAATACCAAAGGAACCTCAGACTTACTGATCTTTCTGAACTTGCCAAAATCTTTCCAGAGTCAGATAAAAAGGTAACTTTTACCATGAACATTCCTATAAAATAAAACATTAAAATTTTATCAGTGCTCACAAATCACAACAGTCTACTCATCTAATTATTCAAACAAATACCTGTCCCCAACAGTAGCTTTCTCTGCCCCTTCCCCAAGTTCATTCAGTGTTTATGCTCCTCAATAGAATTTGGAAATTAAAATATGCCTGTGCTGCAGGCTAATTTTGTTTATAATCAGTTCTAAATGACAACCAATTCTAAGAAGTCTGTTCTTCCTTTCTTGATAGGCCTCTAAATTTTGAGTACTTATACTATAAAAAAGCAAAGACAGGGAGGGGTGGTGTTCTATATACCTATTGCAGTTTAATAATGTTGTGTTCCGTTTTGGCCATACATGACAGAGTACATGTACAACATTAGGATTTCAATTATACATGTGTCATAGCCACAGACATGATGTGAAGAAACAAATTGAGCAAACATCCTGTTATAGTGTATTTATGAATGCATTTTACAGTTGTGCTAAATGGATCTGGCTGGTACAGTAGTTCCCCTCGCACTGTTACTAGATTCATTTTAGACATTACAAAGAATATCAAATTGCTATAATAATAACAGTAATAATAATAACCTCTATTTGCCCACGGTATCTCATGGGAAAATTAGTATTAAAGTATTAAGGCCCACTTCAGACACCGAACTTCACAAGAACCGAATCTATTTCAAATTAAGGCTGACCCAAATTATTTAGACCGACTGTGATTTAGATGCCAATCTTAATTCCAACTGAACTAAATTCAAAAGGAAAAAAAATGCTCATTTTGGTCAAACTGCTTACAAAATATGTTCTTATCATAATTTACCTTTTACGTTAGCTTTGGTTCATGAAAATTTCGTCATCTAAATCAAAGCCATCCCAGACTCCCGGCCAGGCTAGGTGGTAAGAATGGCTCAGCCGTCCCAAACTGAAACGGGGATTCCTAATTTTCATGTTCTCAATTCAGTGTATTAGGTTTGGCTCATGAAAGGTTCAGCATCTGAGCCATGCAAAATAATTTAATATATTTAAAGTGAATGGAGAAGGAATAGATTACGCTACTTGTGTAAATATGCTTTCCATGAGAGTTATGCCTCTCACTAAAGTAAATTACACAACAAGTACATTCGACTATAGGATGAAAAATAGGGTATCTCCTTGCTGCCCCTCAATTGGGACGCTATTCCACTGCATCACACCCCCATTAATAAGCTAGTTATCAGTAAGGTAGGATTAGAGTAGTAATAATTTTATATTGCATTTTAACCATAGCAGCACAGACATTTTGTGAAAATTTACTGTACATACATGTAAATTATCATTGTCATGAGCCAGATGATCAACTTCACAAGATAATAAAACATGTCTACAAGTACCAACCTAGCCTCTCATTAACAGGAGAATGCGGCATTTCAAGATCAAGAAAGACTTGGTATCGCTGTCCTCTCATCAGTATCTTGAAATAATAAAGTAAAACTTTTTTTTTATTTTCAGATCATTACATTAGCAGAAGGCAACCGTGTAGATGGTGAGGACATAATTGCATTTGACATGAATTTAGGAAAATGCAGTTTATGATCTTGGGTATCCTGTGCCATCTTGAGTTTTTACCCTTTTGTGTCATACAACACTAAAACGGCTGCCAAGAAAGCTGTCATTCTACATTTACATTGTTTTTGTGAGTTCTGAGGGATTACTCTTCCCATTCAATAACACACATATCCAGACATCAAGAATCAACCACATTCAACCACAGTCTAATGTCAAATGCAGTGAAATTTAAGACCACTAATCTGGTAAAATAAAACAGATAGTACAGCACTCTGAAATTAATACTTTTCTGTCACCCACCAGCATGTTTTGAGTGTACTAAAAGTTCAGAGGGACATGTAACAAGGTTATTTTCAAATATATTGATCCTTGAACCACCGATAAACTACATTTGGTACATGTCTTGGCATGTTATTGAACATTGCATGACCTCTGGACAAGTAGTAAAATGGAGTTTGCGCCCTGGGGTGATGTTGAACATGAACGAATTGCAATTTTCAATTTTTTGGGTTGAAACTTATGAAGCTAACAGAAAAAAATACTCACTCTTTCTCCGGTGCTCAAAGACAGATTAGCTTGCGGATAGGAACACAGTTCTTTTCCCCGAGTATTTTCGCAATCCGAACTACAAAGGAACAAAAACTAAAATTAAAATAATATAAAAAAGAAAAATTCTGGACAGGATTGTACAAACGATCGCTATAAAACGAGGCCATTCAAGAATAATAAATGAAAAGAAAGGGAAATAAACTTACTTGAAGAGTAGGAACACTGGTCTTATGTGGCTCACTGTTGGCATATAAGCATAGTAAAAACTCACGTACATCAACACCGCGATCCAAACGATCACAAAGACAGTACAACATGAGAAGAAAAACCGAACCACAGTTACGCCAACGAGGCGACTAGCGGCCAGTGTCAAGTTCCGAACGAATCGTACGATCCTCCAGTTACTCATGATGAGCTAGGATTTAAAGAGAAGCCGGGTTAAGCATTCATTTTGCTCTCTTCCACCATGTTCACTCCCTCCCGCCATGTTTGTTTTGTTCATGTTTGCTACTGTTAGTACCCAGACTACCGCTCGTTTCACTAACAGTTCCAAATTTGCCGGGGGAGGGGAACCTTGCGCATATTCCCCCAAGAAGAATTTGAAATCTAGAAGTACGGAAATGCAATTTCCAGCATTCTTGGCATAAAAAAAACGCTGTTAGCAGCTAGACTGAGGGCGGCAGATATCTGGCTTTTGTCAAAAACCCTGCACAATTCATCCCCACAATTTGTTCTATATTAGGTCACGTGGCCATCGAGACGATTGGCGATAAAAGCCAAGGATCAGCTAACCTGAGATCAGGCCCTATTTTAGTAGTTCTCATGTTATTTAGAAAGCGAAAACGAAAATAGAGCCTGCTTTCAAGGTTCAGCTAGCAGGCAGCTGGCAAAAGTGCATCACATTACGTAATCTTTTTTCGGGGCATTAGTGTTCCCGGTTGAAGACCAATGCCCCCAGTCCACTGCGCATTGGTCATAAAGCAAAGGTCTGTTTGGGTCTGTCCAGGGCAGGGAATTTCTCATACTATATATTTTTTTTTACTTCAGTCAAAGAAAGGAAGCATCTGTTGATTTGTTCGCAAATTCTTTGCTCTGAAATAGCTTGCTCTTCGCTACAAAATCTTACGCAATGGACGTACTAACGCTTTGTGCATGCTATGGATAGTGTTTGGTTCAATATTTTTAAGTAGTGGAACCTCTTGACGAAGGGCCAAAGGACTAGTAAAATTTGTCAACGAGGTTTCGTCATACTGAGGTTTTTTTTTCATATACAGTGGAACCCCCTTTATAACGGTATAACAAACGATATTCTTTACCCTAGTGCTGGTAAAATATGTGAAAAGGACCTCGACATAACGAAACCTCCTTATAGCGAACAATTCGCCAGTCCATTGACCCTTCGATGTTAAGACCCGAAGTTTGTAGTTTTCTTTTCTTTGTTTTTTATTACGCCTGTACTCATGCAATCTTTATATGCTACACTTTTTTTAAGATTTGCCGCGGGAAGGTTTAAACTAACCCCCACTGACCTGGTCGGCTCAGTTAGAAGAGTGCCGGTCTGCTGAGTGGGAGGCCGCGGCCAGACCATCAACCAAGGTCTTAAAAACCTGGTGAGATCATGCTAGCCGTGACTAAAACCCCTTTCTCTGTTCAGATGATCGCGTCATTGGGCGGTGACGTTACGCCGTTGGCCTTGTCTCCTTCATCCTTACACATCAGTTGGAAGGGGAAGTAAAAGATCCCGTGACATTGTTCGAAAAACTAAAAGAGTAGGGAAGTTTGCCCTGGTGTCATGGTCTATCTGACTAATGTGCCATCATTGGTCTGGGTGGGCGAGGTGAGATGAAAGATGGACTAATATAAAGCAGCAGCATAGTTCGCCTTAAAATGCTTACCCTTCCGATCTCACCTCTCTGGCCATTGGCTGCAAGTGAGGAAAGTTGGCAACCCCATTTATTTTATTTTATTTATTTAGAAAGTGACACTTTTATTGTAGTTTCTTGTGCTAAAATATTAGACGCTTTGGGGTCGGTCTGATCAAAAATCCAAATCAGGATTTTAACGTATGGTATAAGACAATCACGAATTATGCCAAAAAAGTCCCAAGGCATACATTCTTATTCTTTCTATTGCATAATAATGCACCAAGGTCGATCAAGGTTAATAAATAAATCACGTGTGTCTAGAATTACAGGAAAGTAATACAGTGTCAAAATGCAACCTCGAACCTATGTCACTCGCTTCGCTGTTATCTCCGACTTCATCACTTGCTGCGATAACAAATGTTTGGTTTGTTTGTTTTTACATTTTTTGGAGCGTGTTATATCCTTTTTCGTATAATGACGGCCTCAATGATCCCTGAACATTCAGTATGGCTTTTCATCAAAGGCACATACTCACTGTAAACAAAAGGAGTAAAATTCTGCTGTCAAGAGAGCTAATTCTGATATTCCCTCTCACAGCGCCTCTGAGGAATTCAAAAGGTCTGTTTGCCCTGGTGTTGATGATATGTCAATGATTCCAAAGTTCAGAAAAAGGGAAAAAACAAGCACTTTTAAGAACCACCAAAACCAGATCAAAGCTCGGTGGTATTTTATCACCGCCGACTTTGATCGAGGTTTTACGATGAAGACAGACTGAGAGGGGTGCGAGCCAGATCCAAACAAAAGTTTCACGGAGGAGGCGAAACAGCATGAGGTGTACGGCGATTTTGGCATTATCAGTTGGGTGTGACAGTCTCATAGAAACGCCAGTAAGGTACAGAAGGCCAAGCAATGAAGCAAGAAGAAATCGCCCTTCAGAATTTGATCATTGCGGTTTCTTGCATGATTTGCAGCTATCGACCAGCACTAACTGCGCTCCCAAACAATGCTATAATTTGGCATTTTCAAAGGCTGGCTTGTATTTTCTGTACATTGTAACAACAGCTGCTCCTCCGATGCCATAGTTATGTTGTAAGGCAACTGTCGCTTCCTCAACCTGCCGCTTGCCAGCCTCACCTCTTAGCTACAACAGAACAGATGCATGCATTTGAATAAGAAAAGGGAATTTCAAACAGTCTTAGCGTTAGAAAGAAAATCCTTAGATAAGAATGACCGAGACCAGGATTTATGAGCCCGCAAGACAGAGCACCCCGGGTCAAACCGCCCAAACTCTTGTTTTCACTAAAACCGCTGGACGGCACAAATGAAAATAGAGATTTTTTCTTGGTTTCTGATTTCCAGCAGGCTTAGCCATAAAAAAGTAAACTGATTTAAGCCATTGCGTCTGGAATAAAGTAGCAGCGGACAGCTTCAAGGAACAAAAACCAGGACACCCACCTGCCAATTGAGCTCAGCACACTGAGCCAGTCCTGTGGCACCAATTGGATGACCTAAAAAGAAAAATGAATATCAAATACAATTTTTACAACCCAAACGAGATCAACTTTAAAAACTGCACATCAAATGGAAGCTTTCACAAATCTTTAGCGTAGTATCCACCTTTTCTAGTCCCTAGGCTTCATGATACCGCGCGGCCAATGCGTTTCGGGCCACGTGGTCCGAACAGCGAAGAAGTGATTGGAGTGTGTTTCCCGCCCGTTCACCTCGGATACGTCACCAGAGCGAATTGACCGAGGGAAAGCACCGTACAGGGACAAGGGAAATATCCACCGATCTTCGTCCTTGTGTAAGGTTACCATGTAGACGCAGTCACCTTATCACGGTGACGTCGTACACATGCTCATTGACCTCAGAAGCTGTCTCAAAAAACCTGGATATGGTAAGTTTCATTGAGACAACGGGCTTTATGTAGTATGTTTAAAGAATCTCACTCACCTTTTGACTCTAATCCTCCTGAGGGATTCACCACCCATCTTCCTCCAACACGACAAACTGCTCCACCTACACAGACAAAACCAATACCTGCCACTTTACAAACAAGAGGGAAACTGGGTCCAGTTAACGTTCGCAAAGACTTCTGGGGACCAGCGCGTCCTCATTAACGACTCTAATGACTTTTACTGACCTTTGAAGTTATTTTTTAATTTCAAAAATAAAATGGAAAAATTCAGTTTTAAAAAATGTTACCTTTTTTATTGGGAACCCATTTTGCCGAGTCAATTAGCTCTCCACCCCTTCCGGGTGGACAAAGTCCCATAGCTTCGTACATGAAGAGCTGAAATAAAATGTAGAAATGGCATGTGAACATTGAACTCAATTTTTTTCAGTTGGGTCACGAGCAAAACAAATCAGACCTACCGCCAATATTCTCAATATGCTTTGATTAATGTGTCAAAAAAGTTAGAAAAACGGTGCGCGTTTAATCTGGAAGAGATTTTGTGCAACGATCCAAAGAAATTAATAAGCCAACAAACTGGACGTAATAGCTCGAGTTTGTTGCCGGCATTATTTCTCACACCGCTTGACATTGAAACTGGCAACTCTCGTTTCTCCTCAACATGACTAAGTCACACAAACTATTTATCCCACACAATATTGACAATCGCGTGACCGCTAAATCAGATCACACCACACGACTGAGGAAGACACTGAAACAACGCAGGTCAAAGGCCGTTGTTCCGAGACACAAAAGCTTGGACGAGCGGTTAGCGTGCTGGACTTGAAAATCTGGAGGTCCAAATTTCAAGTCTCGCTCTAACCGCTAACTAAATTTGCTCTAGGAAGGCCCGAGTTCAACTCCTTGGCATTGCTCACTAACACTTTAAACCCCAAGATCAAAATTTGAATTCTCATTTGTTGCTTCTATTCGTTCCTACAGAAGAAGTGGGGAGAAGTTGATAAAATATCAAGCAAATTCATCTCGTGTGATCATGTCCGTAATTCTCATGACCACTCTGTTTTACAAAGCGTTGATATTACAAGGAGAAATTAGATGCTGATCACTCTGAGGGCTTAAAGGGTTAATGGCCAACTAGTTTGCATCCCCCTAGTTGGGATACTCAGTACCTGCTGTGTTAATTTTAATATCACTGTATTTGTTTTCGTCCATTTTTGTGGGCTACAATATAAACTACTGGGTTACCAGCAATTGTGCCACCCCTACAAAGTCAAGGTCAATCAGTTTTTTTTTCTTTTTTTTATTCTAACGAAAGAAAATAATATTTACAGTAGACAACTAACCTCGTTACAGGAAAAGCAATCGTGCACCTCAAGCACGTCGACATCTCGAGGGGTAAGACCTGACGATCTGTAGCAGTCTTCAGCAGCCTTACGAGCCATACCAACACCAGCTAAATCCATAAAGCTCTGCTCAAACGAGGATGGTAGGTCTGTGACCATCTGCTGTGCAACAATTTCCACAGCTTTACTCTTAAACAAAGAAACTACCCAATTAGTTCGGTTGGTATGCCTGTGAATATCTGCCGGACAGCCCTGTTCACTCAGATCACATTATGAAGTGAACTAGCAGTGATGACAACGAGTAGAGTGGCTTGAATTTTACAATAAGAAATAGAATGGAAAGATCAATATCACTTTTTATTTTTTGTATTCTAGCTCTTAGGTATTAATAACAATTGGTTTTCCCTGTGAATTTTTGAAGAAGTTTAAGAAGTTCTCTAAACTACGTGAAAATATTGCTGCTTAACCTGATTAGTATGAATATTCACCGCGGCCTTAAGTTGATACAACAGGCCATTTTGGAGTTCCAAAATTCTCACTTTCAAAACGAGGCTAAGTGCCAAACCTTTCTTATGAAAATTCGTTTTATTTGCATGAGAATAAAAATCATGAGTACTATTGCCAGTTCCTACCTGAACTCTTTATTCAGTTAAAGTGTTTTCCTTCCTTACAACTATAGGTGCTACCTTTTATTTATTCATTTATTTCATTTTATTTTCGCTTTTTCCTTACTTAAGTTCTTTGCCGACTTTATAGAAGACAATTATTGTATTGCTGCCCACCTAGAATAGCTCCGCTAATTGTGGGTAACATAGACCTAACTCATTTGACAATCGAATAAACTGTTGTTGTTGTGGTAGCATTTCCTATCAGTAATGGCTTCGCACTTGGCCTCGTTTTCAAACAGAAGCTTGGGGCAACTCGGGAATTGCTATTGTTTAAAATGCTTACAAAAACGAGCATTTAGAACCGCATTTACGATTTTTTCAGATTTTGGTGACAATCGACGTAAGAGGTTGTTGATGAATAAGTTTTCCTGTATATTTGAGACCTTTGATTACAGCGGGAAGTGTCTGTAACATACTCGTAAATGGAGACCCCCAAATAAGATTATTCTAGTTCTCTTATCAAATATTTGCGATGAGTTCTACGATTTCTCTTATATGAAAGGAACAAGAAAATTATGTTTTTTTATACTTAGCTATAGTGAGAGAGTAAATAGCAATTCAAGGGTAGTGAAGGGTAACCACGCACCTCAAATAGAATTGATGATTTGTCTCACGATGTAATCACCTGAGACCTAGATGGCGACCTTTCGACTACTTAAGAGTTTTCTTCAGGTTATAACTAAAAGGTGATTTTACGCATTACTATTTGTATCACCACAGTCGGTTGTGGTTGCTGTATATCGATAGTCACTGTTTCTGGAGACAGAGAAATAGTTACCTTCGCTATCCGCTCTCTCATTTCCTTGCTGTGTTTTCTACCACAAGTGACTACATCGTAAGACCTTCGTTTATTATTGTATCTAGCACAAAGAACAATCACGAATGTGATTCCTCGTCAAGATTTTCCCAGGAGGTTGTTAGAGATCTACCATGGGTGCCAAAGAGAGACTTTTCTTGCACGGTTTCCGGTTTCTGTCGTTGGTCGAAGACGCGTCGGCCCGAAAAATCTCCGAGGCAGCCGATCGCCGCAAGGCAGAAAAAAATTCTAGAACCCAGGGTATTAAAGATCTCACGGCCAGTTCGAAGGCTAACCTGCATTCCCCTGGACTCCATGAAGGCTCTTGAACACACAACAGCAGCTGCTGACCCATCTGCTGTGGGCGCCGACATGGCGAGTGTAATAGGTTTGCATATGGTCTTTGATTCACTGATATATTTTAAAGGAATCTCCTTCCTCAGGCATGCATATGGGTTATGTACGCTGTGCTTGTGATTCTTGTAAGCAATCTTTGCACACTGCTCTAAAGTACTTCCATATTTCGTACTGTGCTCTTGTGCGGCATATGCAAAGAGCTGTGTATTAAACACGTGACAAAAATGAGCTTAAAGGGACCATGCCACCAGCATATTGCTGTTTTAGATCAATTCTGTGCTGAAGTCGTTACTTACTGCTTTAGCCCAAACATAAAATGCTCCTATAGAGTTATGAAGAAGATATTAAACAAATTTCCTCAGGGAGCACTAAAAAATGATATTGTGTGGGAGCATTACAACTAGCCTGCACCACAGGCGAAATTAAACTCTGGTTATGTCCGTCTGCGCGGCAGCACCGAAATCCTTGTTTTGGGCCCCCATCTGTGTACCAGGATTTAAGCACGCGCTGTGATTGGCTCTTTAAAAAGCCATTGTCGATTTGCCAATCAGGATGAAGGAAAATTCGAAACCCACTTCAGTTCGGTAATTCGTTGAGTCCGTTGAGGACCCAGAACAAGGATCTCGGAGCTGCCTAACCGAGGTTAAATTACGTCTGTGACGCAGGCCACTATACAACTTGCCTGAATATAGTCTTAAATAATAATACTGGACCATTATCTTTGGAATTCAATTGATGCAAAGACACGTTTTAGCATTTTAAGAAGATAGCAAATAGCCTGACGGAGTGATTTTTTAGGGTAACAAAGATTTTAATATTTTTGTTTTGCCATTCAACTAAACAAAATACTCGCTTTGAATAAATAATAAAAAACAGTAGCCTGGCTCTTACGACTAGACGACTGAGAGATCTGAGAGATGAGGCAAATGACAATATCATTCGGTTTCCCAAACAAAAAGCAAACTTCCAAGGAAGAAAAATCAATAAATTGAAGACGTCTGTACGCAGACTAGACGCTGAGCGAAAGAATACGCAACATAAAGTACATGTTGTTCTCAACGCGTATTACATAGCCTCCCCCGCAGACGTTCTTAATGGTTCGTCACGCGTTCCTGCCCCACGAGAAGAACGTCTGCAAGGGAGGCTACGTATTACACAAACGTTACGAAATGACCTTACACATTGGCAAAACAACATTTGTATGGAGATTCTAGCGATCGCGTTATTTTGACGGTCAAAAATACCATTAAAAATACGTCAGAATTTCTTACCTTGCCAGTCTTCTTGTTTCTATTTTGCTTTTACTTTCTATATTTCATTTCTCAGCGTTTTTGGTGGCCGTTTGAACGCGATTCAAGACAGTTGTAGTTCTACCGTATTTTTAATGCTATTTTTGTCCGTTTAACTGACAATCGCTAAAATCCCTATACACGCTATTTGTAATATTTCTGTTTAATATGCAACAACGAATCTCACTCGACGTGAGCTTGCGATACCTGTGTCAAGAAGCGCGAAAATGTGATAGGCGCGACTGGAAGGAGGGACGCTTCCCTTTCCTTTTTTCCTCGCGTGTCCACCGCATTCTAGTTTTTCTCTAGTGCGAACGCAGTATTCAATTGTTACCTTGATTACATCAGATGTCATGGTGTTTAATTGTGGGTTCACTAGTCCTGGTGCGGCACCGATCGCTATCATGTGATCCATGTGACGTTTAACAGGAGATGCGCGATCATGAAACCTTTCCGATAATCCTCGCTCCATCTTCTCAAAACCTTCAAATTGAAACAAAAATGAACAGACAATAGCATTAAACGTTTTGGATTAGTCTACTTACACTGTCACTAAATTCGATTTTTTCCTTTAACAATACGGAAGTAGAGTAACCATTAAAAAACAATTGCTGATGCAAGACTACTTACACTGTCGTAGGTAGACTATAAAATTTAAAAACTTTTAGATTCTCTACTTGCCATAATCCTTTACAAATGTCCACACTAAAGATTTCGGATGATATATTCAAAAAATTAAAATAGATCCCAGTTTTAAATATCACATATTTCAAAGAATATTCTGTATTTCGGACTGAAATTTTAACACGTCCTTTCAATAATTATTCAGAAATGACAACTTTTCAAATTGACTGAAAAAATGAGTCCACTGAATCGCCTGACTTGAGAAAAACGGGAAAAAAAGATATGGCTAGCCTGTGTGGCCGGCAGGCGTTTTTTGTTGTTGTTGTTGTTGTTGTTGTGTTTTTTGTTTGTGGCACAAAATGCAAGAGGTAAAGCTGGACAAAAGCAAAAGAGAGGTCAAATGAGTTTATGATGAGGGAAGGTGTGAGGGAAAAAGGCAAATACGGAACAGCTGTTTTATTCTCTCTGTGTTCTTTCTCTCACCCCCCTTCCCCTGTAATTTTATTGTTTGGCCTCTTACTATGAAAAACACACACAAAAAACGTCTGCTCCACAGACTGAGATTTGCCAAGAATAAACCGGGCTGCCAGTGTTCCATGATTGTAATACAGTGAAGTCATAACGAAGGCAAGTAAGCATACTTTATAAAAGCCCAAATTCCCTCCCATCACTGTTGACTTACACATAATTGGATGGTATCGACTGATACATTTTACCTTACCTAATGCCAAAACACACTCATACTGTCCACTGAGAACCAATAATCTAGCCAGCATAAGGGCAGATGATGCAGAAGAGCAGTTGTTGTTTGTGTTAAACACAGGGACACCTGTCAGACCAAGCTCTGAAACAAGGACAGTGTATGCTAGTGATTTAATAGTTAATCCAAAGAAACATAGATGTAAAACAGTTAACAGTCATCCTATCAGAACAAGCTGGACATGCCCAGTGATGTTTGATCTCACATCAAAATCTCCCTCTTCTTTACAAGCAAACATGAGGCTTTTTGAAAGAAGAAACTAGCAGCTCATCACGGTTACCTTGAGGCTTTTTTCTTTTTAAGTAACCCTTCAAATGAGTAAGATTAAGGGCAAAAGGGACAGTCCCAGGGGCCTCAAAAAAAAGGAAGCTGTGAGAGGGTTAATTTCTGCTCCAAATTTTGCCCAATACCCTTAAACATCAAATGTTTAAATGAAAATCGAATGCATTCTGGCAAAAGGCACTGAGCATGGCTATGATACAGGTCAAATTAAATTCAGGTTTAAAAAAAATTTCAATTTAAGCTGACACCCTTTTACCTGAAATTATTTCTTTTTGAACTACAACTGATTTACTTCAGCAGCCCTCCACTAAGTTGGCTAATGGCTAAGCCGCTTTGGAGCCTCATCAGTTACACATCATTACCAATACTTACACGGTACAATTCACACACTGAAATTTAAAGAACTACATACCATAAACTGCTCTTTGACCTACAAATGAAACAAGAGAATCTTCTTATATTTCAAAAAAATTCCAGTTAATATTACTGTCAAACTCAGAAATGGTGATCACCTGAAAAACTGTATTTCAAGAATCATTGATTGTGAAGTAGTCAATTAAAACAAATAGCTTGCAGTTAGTTTTCTCACACCTGACTCTTTGCAACACAGTGCATTCCTAAAATATTGCAGTGCTGACTGCTCACAGCTTTCTGAGTTTCACAGTAAATTGTCAAACTCTCCATAAGGGGTCATTCCTCTAAAATACAGACAGCTACCTATTACAGACAAATCTTTTGATCCCAGATGTACCTAGACTGCTTACCTTGAACTACAAAAACACTTAGTGTTCTTGTAGTTCAAGGTAAGCACTCATCAAATGAAAGGTTACCCTGGAGCAACAACAAAAATGTACATGAGTGAGACTGGGAAGAGATCCTTTTTGTTATATGGGAAACTAACAGCCACAGGGCTTGAAAAAAAAAGTTGAATTCTGGCTTGTCCTTTGGGCAAGGCAGCTCTCATATTTTGCTTCCTAAGGGCTGCTTCTTGTTTGTCTTAGTTAATGATTTTGTTAGAAGATGACTTACCTGGACTCATGCTTGTTGGGTTAGTAAGCTTTAAAAGTTGGTTGCCCAGCTAGAAAATCCACTTATCCCAGACTACAGCACAGGACTTTTATTTGAGCCCTGAGTCAGCTTTTTTTTTAACTCTTGCCTAACAGTTCCTTGCTAGCAAAGGCCTCTTTTCCCTGGTACTCAGTGGGTGGGAGGAAAAGGGACCTCTGTCATGGGCGGAACAGGCTTTGTTGAGCATGCACCGCTGTTGCTTGGAGACCTAATCATCATGTGAACATTGTAGTACATGATTAAGTTTGAAACACAGTGTTGACAGGCTAAACGCAACTCACAAGCTCACGTAGGTTATGCAGTGCACGGAGCACAGCACTGGGAGTATCTAAACTTTGAATGAGAAAATTATATTTTTGTCGTTCTGAGTATAACATCTGGAAGTCATGAAGCTGGTCTGTTTTATGCTTATTGTGGTTTATTTTTGACAGGATTTGACCTCAGATGCAGTTTATATAGTACCGATGACCTAGCTCTGTTAAAGCCTTTTAAAGCTCTCAATAAAGATTTTAGTTTCTCTGTTTTTCTCCAAAGTACCTGGATCTGAATAGCTACATTCATGTAGTTTTTTTGTCAACGAATGTGATGATTTCCATTTCAACAGAGAGCCCATGCAAAGTGTGCACAGTCTGTTTGTGAAACTGATTAATTGTATAATATTTGTAATTTTATAGTAAATGTGCTGGATTTACTGTTTGCTTCATCTGAGGTGGTATATTGCTGGTTATGTGCATGGTTCAATGCTGAATGAACATTGTGTTACCTTACCTACAGAACCTTTGCCTCAGAAGTGGTATTTTGAGCAATTTTGAAGGATTCTGAGTTCGCTGTTTACTGTCCTCTTAAGAGGAACAGTAAACAGCAAACTCAAATTCATGTGTAACTGACCGTAGCGCGTGAACAAAAAGGAATACAGGGAAAAGAGGCCTCTGCTATAATCATAAAACTTCGATCACACAAAAATTAGTCTTGTAAAAGTGGTTGAACAAGAACACATACAGCGTGAAAGTTTTTTTTTTAATCAGGCTCAAGAAACTGTTAGTAAACACTACAAGGAGCGTGCGTTTTGCAAAGCACCGTCCATAAGCATGGACGGCGGCTTCATCAAAGTCCGTTTCTGCCCATGGCAGAGGTCTCTTTTCCTCCCGCCTGCCAAATACCAGGGAAAAAAGGCCTCTGCTAACAGGGAAGCCTCACAGACTCAACAGGCATGTGACTGGCTTATGTGAGAGTTCATGGTAAGTCTTGAATTTCACACTTTCAAAAAGGCTGATGTTGAGAAAAACTGACTACTTTGCAAGTTATGCTATTTTATGCAATCCCTAATATACCAGTATAATACATTCTGTTACATCATTCTGTAAAATAGACACTTGGCTATGTCTCTTTGGTGTCAATAATAAAGAGACCCCTCTGTAATACCAAAACTTGGCTCTGTCCCTTTGCTATCAGTAATGATGAGACACCTCACTGGATCCCAAATCTCTGTTCCTTTGTTGTCCATATTGAGGAGGTTTGACTGAAGTATATAACGACAGAAAGGAATCAAAAATCATCCAAAACTTTGCAGCTACCTGCACTTTACCTGAGGTTGGTTCACCATAGCAGTAGCTTGCTACGACAGCTTCCACATCCTGATACAAAATCCCAGCATCTTTTAGTGCTGCTGTTCCAGCCTCCCTTGCCATATCTGTAAAAACAATACACACATCCATCAGCTTCCCTCAGAGTCCATTATTATTGAACTTACGCAACAGGACAGGAGAGGAAAGACAATATTTTTGATGAAAAAACTTTCCACCAAACCTCACCTTCATACATACATAGACTATAGTTTGGTGGAAAACCAATATTTCTTGTCGTCCAAAGACAAAAGAAAGGTGCATGTACATCTGCTCATGCAATGACCTCTGATTATTGAGGTCTTAAGGTTTTCTAACAATCAGACGACAGTTATGACCACAGTAAAATGCTGGGATATCTTAGGAAATGTTGTCCCTCTTACTGACCTTCCGCTAGAACAAAACTGGCATGACTCAGATATAATTCTAAAATTGATTTTAAAATAGTGATATTAATATCACTATTTTAAAGTCAATTTTAGAATTATATGTATACCTGGATAGTCCCATTTCTTGGTAAGTGGCTTCTCAAACCTTAAAAAGAAGAACAACAATTTACTGATTACAATAAGCTTAATTATTAAGCATAAATTGAGTTTAAAATTTTAAATTGCGATACACACTGAAAAATAAAGCTCAAGGTCACGAAAGTTTTTAATCTGCACTGGTTTCTCACTTTGTCATTCCTACCCCGACAACAAATACTTGCTCAGCTGTTTTTTTTGTAGTCGCCATAATATATATGATTGTAACAGACGATCGGGTCATTGAGTCACCTTTGGAAGTTACTCGGTGTACGGGGACATCATAAGTCTCCTGTGTCATGTAAGTCTACACTGATTGACCCGTTGAAATCGCCTTCTAAATCTTCGTCTGATGCCATGATCAGGACCAGTGATCTCGGATCACTCGGATCATGGTAGATCAAATGAACCAATGAATCCACTCTGGACAAGGATTCATCGGCTCATTTGATCTACCATGATCCGACTGATCTCGGAAAGGAACGCACCCTTAGACTTTCTCAAAGTCCTCTGCTTCTCATTTCCGGTTCCGGTAGTAGGCCCCAACGCCAAAATGACGTCACTTGATGAGGACAACAAGTCGAGCTTCCGGTCTCTCGCTCTCTTTGCCACCAAAAAACGTAAAACTTTCTGGTTCGCGCTGTTGCGTCCAACTCTCAAACAAACGCCGCCCACTTTGAAGCGGGAAAAATAAATAAGTGCGTGCGGCGTTATTCGACTGAAAACCGCAGCTCTTCTTTCTCCAATGAACACGGCTTGGGCACCCTTGGGCGCCCACTTGGGCGCCCGGCGGGGGAAATTTTTATTCAATTGTAATGTAATGAACTCGTTACGCGCTATTCTCTTGACCTGATTTTTTATTCAAACGAAAAGTAATTTCCCTCGAACGTCCTACTATACTTGTGCGCCCGGAAAAGATGAAAGAGGAAGATTTTCGTTTGACTATTCGAGATATCAGTAAGTAGTTCAGTTATTGTGAGGTTATATAGTGCACGATAGTTACTAAACTTGGTTTTTTTAATTCTGTAATTGGTTATTCTCCCTCTCTCTTGTTTGTTACCTCGCGGCATTTTATCCGCCGCTTATATCTGTAAAATTACGTACAATTTTCCATCATTGTTTATTGAAAAAGCCAGAGAAAATGACTTCAAGAATACTGGAAAAGGAAAAGAAAACTTGACTTGAAAAAAACGTTGCCGAGTTTTTTTTTTTTAATTTAAATGAAGCGTGTTCAACATCTTATATAGATAACTTTTTAAAATTTAGCCTGCGTAGCTGGTGTTATTGTGTAGTACAGTAGTCGAGTGACATTTGGCGGCAAAGCCGCCACAAGCGATTATAATTATAGGGTTATTCTAAGTCTAATATGTGCAACTATTCCCCCAAAATGTGTCATGTATCCCTATTTGAGTAGATTCACTTTCGGTCTTACCAAATGTTTCGAAATGCTGAGTAGAATGTGTTATTAAGACCCACTGATTTTGCTGGACGGTAGAATTCTGAACTGCGAGAACTTCCCTACTAATAAAAATTTTGCTTTCAGTATATACACATGTTTACTCCTTTTAAATTCGAGAAATATTTATTGACATCAGTACGAAAAAGAAACCCATCAGACACCTGTGTTTCAACAGAAAATAATCGCATTCGCCAGCTCACGGCTGTCATTTTTCTGCAGTCAGGTGAGTGATTGTATAAATACCATATAAATTCCCCACTTTAGAAACTCTAGGAAGACTTGAGTGCAAGCTTTGGGCGTAGTGGTTTTTGGGATCATTTGGGTGGACAAGCGTTAGTTTTGGTTGGGATGGTATTCAAGGCAACTGTTAACCAATCATAAGAATCGCTTTTCCACCTGAACAATCCCAAAAATCGTTGCGCCGAAAGCTTTGAACCATTCCCCTAGTATAGTTTTTGGAGTGGGGAATAGTAATGTCTTACATACCTGCAGCTACAGTAAGATGAAAATAACTTAAAGTTTCGTTTGGTAAACACTGCAATTGTTGGAACGCGTTTAAACTAATTTTAGTCCTACAGAAGATCATACGGGGAAATGTCGGCTATTTAACGTAAAAAATTAAGGCGGGCATGGCTTGAATTATATCGGCAATGATCACCTCTAGAGAAATGAAAAGTATGCCTTCAATATGAACTAAGATAAATGATCGTTTGTCTAACGACACTTAAAAACTGTAAAGTTCCTTCTGCCATGTTTCATTCTGTGAAAAAATCTTTAAGGAAATTTTGTCACGCCCCCATTTCAAGCTTTACACTTTTTTTGATTTGGCTCATATCTCAGTTTTGATTCTCTTATTCCCTTAACGGCTTTTTCCTGCTCTTCTCACGGTCTGACTTCAAAAAGGGGGCCAATTTATATCTTACTGCACCCTTCTGCTTAGGTTAGTGCCGCCCGTTTTTTTTTACAAGACGTTCCCTCACAAGGGTTATTGAAATTTGTAATGATAACCTTTTTTCTTCGTTGAAGTGTTACGAGGATGCTTAGCCCGAAGAAGAGTCCAGAGAATTCGAGAAAAAGGTTACGGACAAGAAACAGCCACCATGTTTTTTCTACTCCAGGTTAGGAAAAATATAGCAGCTATTTTCTTTCTTTTCCGCCTTTTCTCTGGGTTGACGATTAAAGAAAATTGTACAGGATCTGCCTTTAGTTTAATAGTAGACTTTGAATGTCCCAGGACACATTTACTGCAGCAGCTTAAGGGCTAATTTCCGTCTGTGGAGCAGGCTAAGCTGCACACCGCCGGGTTCGATTCCTACTGGATCCTGGAAACGGACCAATACAAGGAGCAATACACACGGTCTGGAATAAACTGAGGTCATCTCGTACGTAAGTGAGGGAGACAACCTTTCTTTGGCTTGCAGACAGCTACATAGCTGTGTTAGCTCAGCAAGTCTTTTGCACGAATCTGATCATAAGGAGGTAATGACGGTCCCGTCTCTCCTGTTTTAGAAAAAAAATGTTTTTTTCTAGAACCTATTGAAAACCCTTGTTTATAGAAACCGTAATTTTTTGTTCTAGTTTTTTTGGCAATATATAAAGTACGATATTTCTAAGAATGGCGAGGCAAACGAAACCCATTGCTGGGGAAAGAATATTACAATACGTTGACAAACGACAATTTGTGATTTTTCTCCCGTGTTATGTCTCAAATCTTATATTTTTTCTATATTTATATAGCCTTTTTGTTTTTGGTTTTAGGTGGAATATTGGTGTGAACATTTATATAACTATCAGAAAACTTCAGGGGAAAAGGTATGATTAGAGACTTCTTCCCTTTAAACTCCCCGCAGCCAAACCTACTTTAGCAGCAAAACTCATTGAAAAAGACAAGAGTTGGCAGGTCGCTTATCGCGTCCAGGAGTGTCTATATACTGGGAACAGATCTGACATAGTTTTTACTTATATGGAGATAACATATCGCATACAATTTCTGGAGAGGAGAGGAACGCTTAAGGAACTATTTGTATACTGTTTTCCGCACCGATAAAGTAGAAAATGATGAGAGCTTACCCTCAAACTTATATATGATCACGCAAAACTGAACTAAAACAAAATAATATGCAAGCACCGTGTAGCCCAGTTTAAGCCCTCCCGCCTTCCCTCCATCCCCGCCCCACCCACCTCCCCTCGCTCTATGGAAGTATTCAAATTTACAAGATCTGACGTCATGTTTCACTTTCTTTCAATATATAGAAATCAAGGTCAAGAAGTTCTTCCACTAGTACTCAGTCTCAGGATCCGGAGATGACCAGAAATGAAGAACAGTGTCTAATTGAGGAAAAGCTGCTGGCGAATGACATGTTAGATATATTGTAATCCATGCGCGGTTGACTGTTATAAGTGCAAGCAGAAATACCATACTGCGTCGCGCTCATTTACATATGGGCGCTTATTCAAAACAGAGCGCTTTTTTCTTTTTTGAATGTGCGAAGCAACGCTTTGATATTTATTCTAAAACTAAAGGAACGATAATAGAAACTATCAAGGTAACAAATATACACTGAATATTCACTAAATAATGGCGGGGAATTTTGAAAGTCACTGGTCTTTTCTACGTCGGTAGCTTCAGTGTCGCTTTCACCAATAACAAAGCTTTCGGGTGCAGCACCTTCCACATCCAATTTGGTACTTCCGTCACGTGATTTATGGCTTGACGTAGAACTCCAAAGTACATGTACTCTAACAGTGCTATCACTGTCAATGAATAGGGGCAATTATTGGAGTAGGGCCTATTATTAGTAAGGGGGCCGGCTTATTGGAATGAAGGTGGTTACGCAATAGTGGCCCTTATTAGAAAATGGGTGCTTCATAGCAAAAACACATTTGAGTTGGGGCGCTCAATTGAGAGGAGGCGATTATTGGAACAAAAGTGCTAAATTGAATCATTACAATAACTTTACCTTTTTTAAATTACTTACAGTGGGAATTGCAACTGGAACTTCTTGAGTTTACAATTTCTAAATGAGGCTATCCTAGCCTAGCCTGCGTCACAGACGAAACTAAACTCTGGTTAGGTCCATCTGCGAAACAGCGCCAAATCCTTGTTCTGGGCCCTCACCTGTGTACCAGGATTTGAGTTTGCATCATGATTGGCCTGTCAAAAAGCCATTGTCGATTTGCCAAGCAGGATGAAGGGAAGTTCGAAACGCACTTGCGGTAATTCAATGAGCCCGTTGGGTGGAGGGGGGGGGGGGGGGGGGTTGCAGAAAAAGGATCTCGGAGCTGCTTCGCCGACGTTACTAACTGGAGTTAAATTACAGCTGCAACGCAGGCTATTCAAGCCGAGTGGTGAAATTTCTAGTCTGACGTAACCACCATAAAAGTTGTTTAGAGATTTTTAGTTTTCTTTCTTTTAGTTTGGAGAATGTAAGTCTAGTGGTAGAAGTATATAGGGTACAACTAGAAAATTAAACGTTTTTTCCCCAGTTCACGGTCTTGTTCATATGTTATCACTCATTTTGCCTTGTTATTTGATAGTTAGTATTCATTTGCCCAACTATTTATTCTCTATTTCCACGGCACCTCAACCCTGGAAGACCTGGGTTTTCCCTCAACCTAACCCTAACCCCCCCCCCCCCCCCCCCCAAGGGACTAGACAACCCCCAGGCCCCGGGTGATAACCACCCAGTTAAAAACACAATTTAATTTAAAAAATGAAAATTTGATCTTTTATTTTATGAAATAAAATCAACCGGAAAACAGCTAGAGTATAAATTGAAATATCTTTTGCTCAATAACATATATTTTAATATATTATACATGGTAATTTTTTGCATCTGTGAATTCCCTGCTGTTACAATAAATTGGAATAAAATTATTGCCATCATTGAATGATTGTTTGTGTATGAACACATGTTTAAAACAGATATTATCACAAAGTTTCAGTCCTTAACAGAACTCAGGTTAACACCACAGTCAACCAACGAGGCATATTTATATCGTATGTGTAAACTATTCAAAATCGTTGAATGGATCAACTCCTGCATGTATCAACATTAATCAGCAATGTTAACTGCTTCCAAGGTCAAAATTCTGTCAGACCCAAAAACCACAGAACTTATTGCGACACACGATTAACGATGATGCAACAGAGACATCTCTCTCCTGGATTTTGTTTAAGGGGAGGGGGTGGCTGTACACGGGCTAGTGAAAGGGTTGAAAACAAAGATTCTATTCTTTGCTTGGCCCAAAAAGCAAAAGCCCATATTTTGGTTTTTTTTAAACTCTTCTTGATATAACTACACAACATCTCTTTCACTCATTACCATAAACTTACTTCTATGACAACCTACATTAACGTAATGACATAAGATAACCAAACAAAAACATACCAACAAATACAAGTAAAACCATAGTCATGAGATGAGACACAAGTGTACAGCGCATTCCTGGCTGTACATTTGATGAAAATGCAGCCATCTGCCAGTTGATGTATTTTTGTATATTGCTCGTTGGACAGAGACAGCGGCAACTATAGCTTCCTAGTGAAAACTTGTAAGTCTGTAACTCCATTTCACATGGGTGGCACAATCTGCCATGCATATCCCTAACACCAGGCAAAATATTAGCCTTGTGTCGATTTAAGTATCTTTGTTCACGAGCACGTTTCCAAGGAGGTAACATATCTGGTTTGTATTCACTGTTCTTTTCTGGATCACCTGTCGAACCTAAGTCATTGTCACCAACATGCCAGATGCGACTTATGGTTGGTGACACAATTTTAAAGACTGTAGCATTACGGTTATAGAGCAACATTAAACCAAGATAAAGGGGCCAGTCCTTTTCAGCATGCCCCATAGCATCTTGTTGAAATGTTTTGATATATTCCCATATAGAAGAATTAAATGCATAACCAATGCTCTGGACAAGTGGCACTTGGCTCACAACAAATGCATCTGGTTGATGATCAACTAAATTCTCCTCTCCAATGCCCTGTAGGGTGCTGAAATGGATATTGGGAACTGAGTTCTTGACAAGAAGGGAGAACCACATTACTTCCATGAAATCTGGTGCAACAACTACATCATCTTCAAAAAACAGAACATCCCCAGTGAAGGTTTCATTATGCTTTAACTGGAAGGCATCTAGAAGTAAAAACATAGCTTTTAATTTAGTAAAACCAAGTTTCAAGAGAAAGTTACTGCGGATAAAATCACATTTACAAACAAGCCATACAAAATGTATAAAGATACAATTTAAAGCACTAATATTTCCTACACACTTTTGCCAATCATGATGTAGACCTTTTGATACTAGAGTGTCAAAAAAACAATAGGAATCATTCAAGTGGGATATCTAGGATGTAACATAATATCAAAAAAAGGTCCATTACCATATATTGGAAATCATAATATAATTCTCTGGCCTAGATTTGGCACTGAACACACTTACTGTAACTGAATTCACGACTTTCAATCAACAGAGGAATTGTGACAATTGTTTTTGTGTTGCTCAAGCTCACTTGTAGCGTTACCACACAAAACAATTCTTGATACCAGACAATTTTATTAAAAAACCAATGATTTAAGGGACAACAGGTGATGAAATTGACATCTGCAGATACCCTAACCCACAGAGAGGCTCATAATTATGTACCCCTTTAACAATAGGGCTCCAAGCTGTAGTTATCTGATTATCAAGATACACCCCCAGAGGAAGGAAAATATATCTGCAACTTCTCTCTAAATAAAATGTGTTGCCGTACATGACAGCTCTCTTGGCTGTCACGTAAATGCCATGTCATACAAAAGGTTAGAGATTCAAGCATAAGCTATCACAAAAATGAAAAACCCTTTCGAAATTAAAATTTGTAAAAAAAACGCAAGTTTTTAGCTGCTCTAACACTTCATAAAATGAAAAACCCAGTCCAGATTGATAGTTCTTTAATTTTGAATTTGTTGGTGACGTCATGTGATAACCAAGAATTTGTATGTACAGTCTGTCTAGCATAGTAAGACTACTTGGGACTACAGGAGAGAGTGAACAGCAAGTCTACTTTTGGTGAAACTCGTTTTGCAACATTATAATATTATTCATGATAATAATATTATTGCACAGTTAGGCCTGGTTCAGTCACCAAACTTTTCATAAGTTGAACCTAGTGTATTGAATTAAGTACGTGAAAAATTGTCAACTGTTCTTCCTACTTAGCCTGGACGGGAATTTTAACTTTGGAGAGATTCTGGAACAGGAAAAATTGGGACGTCAAACTTTTCATTTGCTGAATCTAATGCATAAATATTGATAAGGCATTTTGCAAGCACTTTGACTGAAATGAGCATTTCGTTTTGAAAGTGCTGCTGGAATTAAGATCGGTGTTTTAATCAAGTCAGTCGCCCGAGTAAGTTGGGTCGGCCTTACTTTAAATTGAGTTTGATCTGGCTCCTGAAAAGTTTGGCGTATGAACGGGGCCTGGGAGTTTCATTTTGTAGCAGTTAACAGGGCCTAACGAATCATATACCTTGTTCATCAAACACCTTTTTCATTGTGTTCCACCAATGTGCTTTGAGTACTTCAGGAGTCCGTTCCTCTTTCTCATTTCCAAAAGTCCACACAAGCTTCCTACAGAAGGTGATTTTACCTAATACTTTGTACGTCTCGTTAATATCATCCATAGATGATGCTTTGGTGTGATGTAATATAAACAAACATGGTGTGCTGGGTACAATGCTTCCAGAAGAAGCAATGGATTCCAACGTTCTCTCCAAATACTGAGGTCTGTAAGAGCTAAATATCACCAGAGGAACAAATGGTGCCTCGAAATTTTCTGGAAAAACAACTTTAAATTCTTGGGGCCATTTGCTACCGCGTTGACCGAAAAAAACTGGAATTGCCAGCCACACTTGGACGAGAATGACCACGAGAAATATCAACGTTCTTTTAAACGATCTAACTCTAAAAGCTCGCCTTAATAACAACGTCAAACTCATATTTGTTCTTCCTTGGACGTTAGCTTGATCTCTTTAACTAAAATTATTCTCCATAATCCTTATTAGACTGTTACTAAATCACAGCGGGGCTGACGTGTCAAACGCTTAGCTTTGATTATTTATGACGACCATGGATGTCTTGAGATAGCCATCTGCTGTTTTTATACCGGCTTCTGGAAGAGAAAATCCTGATTGTTCTTTAGTCTGTGGACGAAACAAAGCTGTAGCTATCCATGCGGCACTTCAAGGTCTTTTTCCAGCTTCACCGCATACCTCCGTACATCTTGGCCGCCATTTTGCTTATGGTATCAATTCATGCTCCACTGGGAGGGGTAGGGTGCTGGGCGGCACAGGAAGCCCAAGCGTAAATTTAAAAAGTCCGCAAATTGATCAGTTTGTTTAGGCCTGCTTGGTTTGTTATTTTCTGTCTCTGTGGAAAGCTTCATATTGCTTGGAGTAACAGGGAAGTTATACTTTACGTTCAGTTTGCTTTTTACAGTTAAGTCAGTTAACATACAGGTGAAGAATAGACACTCCCAGAAATTTTTTTAGATGCTCATATCATATTGAATGGAGTGGACTCGCGATGAAAGCTGACTGAGACACCCTTGAAGGCACAAGTTCCTTGAAACACTCCTTGCCCTCCTGGACTGGTCTTTTTATTTACAGAAGTTACAGACTAATAAACTTATCATTTTTTAATGTTTCAAAAAGGGTGATTAACATCATTCTCGTCACAAACACACAATGAATAACAGTTACAGTGCAACTACTGAAACCGGGACCCTTGGTAGAAGATTATCCAATCACAGCGTTTTTTGAAAGCAAGATTCTCAATTTTTTTTTTTTGCAAACGGACTAATAAAATTCAACTATGCAGCTGTTGAGAAC